GTCCGCCCATGTAAGCAATAAATAAATAAAAGTGCTTATAGTTTAAAATTTTAAAAAATCACGCTCGAAAAAGATGCTTTATTAAAAATTAAAATATTTTTTTATTTGGTGATCCTAATAAGGATATACGTGAGTGAATTTTAAAGTTAATCGGATGTCTTGAAAGTTGGTAAACATTACGTTGAAAGATTCCGTTACACCAGAGGAGTATCTCCTTTCGCATTCGGCTGCAGTTTCTCGAAATAAGAAAACGAAAATTCTTCACGATTTGTTTATGTAAATTAATGTTTTTTACTGTTTACTATGGCGTTGTTGTTTATTTCCGTTTCGGCACACGGAGCAGTCTCATAACAGCCTATATGACATTCATTGTGGTCTATGAAGACATTTTTCTTCCATTCCTTTTAATTGAGACTAGTGGTCCCCCGGTAGTCGAAATTCGACTATAATTAATTGAAATTATAAGTTTGTACACTATTATAATTCTATTGTCAAAGACATCTATAATAACAGATTTCGCCAAGACTACACTTTACACAAAATTAAATATTAATAAAGACAAACAATATTTAATTTAATCTCAATTTGACCTCAGATTTTAAGCATTAAGAAAAGCTTGACAATAAACAAATAGTATGCATGCGTGTGTGTCAAATACATGGTAGTGTGTGTAATGTTTTTTTTATTGAATTAATGTATTTTTATGCATAATTTTAAAAAGATTTTATCATTCTGCACCCCTTTTCTATATTCTCTATACTTATGTATGGGAAATTTCAAATTCCTCAGTCTGCGCAATTTTCGTAAAAAGGGCTACAAAGTTTTTGCTTCACGTATTAATATATAGATACTTTTATTTTTTGTCAAATAAAATAAATCGACAGTTGAATAAATGTAAATAAATATACAAATAAAAAATTATTACCACGTATTTAAAAAGCATCAATGGACAACGGGATCCATGAGACCATTTTTTTTTTCGTTATGTAGGTACGTTCCTAATTGTCACTTCAAGATTTGTTCTTTTTTTAAACGTGAAGATTTTCGTACATATTCATAGCAGATTTAACTCTTCGGAAATCAAAAGTGAGCTCGTGTACTTTGAGGCTCAGAGTTTAAAAAAAAAATCGCCTGCAATTTAAAACTACCTCAGGCGAAACACTATTTTCAATTATAATACATAGTGTACAATGCAAAAGAGTTGCGTCATTTTTGAGGTTCTAATCAATGACTGGACTATTTTTAAATTTGATTAAAGATCAAAAGATACCATACCAAAAATTTAACCTCAATTTGCGAGACGCTGTATCTACTTAAAAATTTAAGGTGACGTACGTACGAATGCGTAAACAGACTGAATGAATACATTATTGGTTTTGTTTTTCTTTTTATTTATTTTTTCTCGCGTAATAATACTAAATAAACTAATATTGTTACTAGTACATATTATGATGACATTTATCATCTAGGGCCTATCGCGAACATAAGGGAGAGTGCATCTCGCCGGGAAAATCCAAGTGAAAGTGACTTAATCAGAACCGACCTACGTTACATACCTACGCAGGGATTGCTTACGCATACAAATTTGCAGAAAATTTACTAAAGAGCCGAGAAATCGCTGCAATTCGTATTAGCTTTAAATATATTTTTAAAGTACAAAAATACAAAAAGTAAACATATCACGGATGGCTACATAGATTAACACCAATGAACTCTGTATTTAAATAATTATTTTTCAAATACAATGTGCTCAGATAATAATTGCGTACTAGGTACATTAAACAAAAACAGGCCGCCAAAACAACAACGATTTAGGTTGTGATAGCTAATGAAACTCTATACTTGAGTCGTCTATTATCAAAGGTGGCAATCTGTGCATTTGGACAAAAAAATGTTATTGATATGTCAATACAGATTAATTTGAATATAATCGTCTCCTTCAAAGAATACGGTTCAAAACCTGCATTAAATAAAGGTTAATACTTAACCTGTTATTTATCTAAGATGTCGTTCAGAAGAGTTTTGTGACTGCCAATGGAATACAAAGTCAATAATTCGTTTTTCTGATTTACTAATAATTGTCCAAAAGTCACATTGCCGGCTTTGATAATAGTCGACTCA